ACCTCAGCATGTTTCTGGACTGTGGGAGGAAGCCGGAGAACCCGGAGAGAACCCACGCTGCACGGGGAGAACATGGAGACTCCACGCAGGAAGATCCCGAGTGTCCTCACCGGGACGCTAACCGGCGACCTTCTAGCTTTGAGGCGATGGTGCTAACCACTGATCCACCTTGCAGCTCGATAAACATGTAAATAAATAAAAACGACTTCCAGTTCAAAGCTGGAATTCTTCTTTTAATGTGCAGATTTTAAAGCTTTTCGCTGTATAATTCTATATTTGTTAGATGTCTTTTGTATTATCTTCATAAACGTTCTTCAGAGCAGACGTGCTGATGCGTCCTAACAGCTGCATCTCACTCAGAGTCTCACTCCTGCTGCTATCTGTCCACATGCTGGTTTACTGGGACACTTATTAGAACTGATTGATCTTTTTTAATTCAGTCTGTGCTTCTCCTACTGTGGATACTGTCAAAATGTCAATTAGTGTTTTTATTTTAAACATAAAACATCAAAATATGGATCAGAAATACTTTCAAATCGATCTCCATCACTGAGAATTTATTTAATTTGCGTCCCGAGGCTGTTCAGACCGTTAGAAGCTCCACGCCGCGGTAGCTCTGGTCCCGTCAGTGCACTGTCCTTTTAAACCGGTCTCTCTGCACAGCTCGCGTCCTCCTCTGTCTGTCTGCGACGGTGGAGCCGAGGCTCTGCTTGAGGGCCGGGAGGACGAGTCCAGACTGGGAGGCTGCAGACCTGGGCAAGGACAGGAGGATTAGACGGCTGACTGGTCTGGCTTTCTGACACGAAAACGTCTGTCTTGGTTAAAAAAAAAATGCAGCTTTGGGCTTTAATAATACGGAGGTTTGAGCTTCCTGTCGCACACAAACAAATTTGAAGAGAGACTCACATTTTATCTGGAAATGATTGAAGACCAAGTTTTGGAAATTTCTTTTCTTCTAAAGATTTGCTGGAAAAAAAAGGAGAAGTTTTTATCACAACTGCTTTTCATGAGGACATCATATGCTGATGATGCTGAAGATGAAGATGAAGATGTCGCTTTACTGAGTCCCGTCGAGGAGGTAGGCCTTGGTCAGGATGTAGTTTTCTGGGGTGATCTTCTTGCTCAGGACGATGTCTCTCAGCAGCGCCTTCACTCGTAGGATCTAGACGACACAGAGCTGCACTTCAAGCAAAGCTCAGACGTATATTTTGGACTCAACCAAACTGGACAGAACATGATGGGCACCTACCTCCTGAGACTGTAAGCTGTTGGCGTTGTAAAGCTGCCGGATGATGACCTCACACTCCTGCAGCGTGGGAGCTCGAGGCGGATGTGAGGGGCTGCTGTGGATTCGTAGCGGCTGCAGCGAGGTGATGAGGCGTCCCTTCACGTCTGCGCCGTGGTCCTGCTGCCTGGCCGAGCCCACGATGTCGCCGCCTTCGCCGATGCTTCTCAAAGAGATCAGTTCAATTAAATGCACGACCACAAGCAGCACGTTCACAACAGCAGGTACAA